ATCAACGGCCTTGTCCATTCTTTTTCCAACTCCCATTTTTCTCTTTTGCTTTGCTTTGGATTCAAAAACTAAAATTACTTAGCCCAACTGCAACTGAGGTGCTTGAGCCCTGGGGCAGTAGGGGTACACAGGGAGATTGTTATTTTAAAGGCAGGTCTCATGGGTCACGTGGAGGAGAAGGGACCCACCATGGATTTGGTAATGCCACCTAAATGGTAATACGACGAATGGGTGGAAATTTTGTTTAATATGACTTGTCTCCTCGTTGGATCCGTATTTATTGTTTCCAATAGTTACCCAATACAAATTTGAAAGGAAAATACTTGGGTTCCAGTAATTTTTATTGGTGATGACCAATCTTATTTAGGGGCCAATCAATCAAGTATTTTCCATAATTCGAAGTATATTTATAGTTTCATCCTGTACATCTAATCATGTAAAATTTTTCAATAATTAATCGGTGGGAGCCTATCTCTGTACGACTAAAATTGAAAAAATCGACAGTTAAAATTCTAAAAAAGAAATCTTTGATTTTTAATTTTCGTCTTTTAGTTATCAAATGGTAGTAAGGATAAGATAGATTTCAACATCGACCACGAGGAGCCAAATATTTTCTGGTTTTCAAGGAGAGGCAGATTGTAAATTGTTTAAACTGTGGACCGGAGCAAGAAGGGTTGAGTGTGGAGCGTGGCAAGTGGAAACCATCTCATCCGGAAGCTTTTTTATGTTGGTATTGGAAGCACACCGGACACTCGTCGAGGATACAGTGAGCCCGTTTCTTACTCCACTGCATGGCCTTGGCACGTACTTACCATTCACCTCTATCACTTGAACTAAACTAAGCTCAAATTTTGCTCTTTGAATTATGAATTATTCTATCTCCCAGCTATTTTCAAAATTTAAAGCTTTTTTCTATATATTTTTTAACTTTGATGCTTTTTAATAAAATTAGTAGTATAGTTTCACATTAGTAAGGGAGAGAAAAATGTGTTAATTGTTATATGTATACTACAATATTTGTATTGGTATGATCGGTGAAATCAAATTTTGGAAGTTTAAGTTTAAAGTAAATAGTATTGAACTACTATGAAAACGTGGGAAGAGACTAATTCTTGGACAGGTAGTTCCAATAAGAGGAGGTAACAGTAGAAAAGTGGACGAATAAACAACTATACGAGGGAAGAATTGGTAATAAAAGTAGGGATCAAAACATCTTGTGTGTACATAATACTTCAAAACAACATTTTTATTGACGTGAAATCTTTTAGAGGTGAAATGGCTAAAAGTAGAAATTGTGGAGGCAAAATAAAAAAGCGATAAGATGTGCCTTGGGCCACATGTTTATCTTAAACTCTCCTAATATGGATTCACTGAAGTTGAACGTTACACACATCATTCAAACCAGACTAAAATTACATAGATGCAGCAAAGAAATATAATTAATGAATGCGCGTTAAAGGTATAGGCTGGTTAAAGTTTGGGTAAATAATAAGTAGTGGTGCAGTGCAGGGTGCAAAAATAAGCAATAATATTTGGATATATAATATAATGGGCAATGAAGGGATCTCGTGTGTGATGGAGAAAAAAGACAAATGTTGATTATAAGGTTGCCAAACTAAAAGAAATTTGAAGTGGATCCAGCCTAATTGTTCAACCATGGTAACTTCGGTTACAACTTTCATTATAATTTATGACTTCAAAATCTAATCGAATTCCAACCTGTCCCTCTCATCAATCAAAATGGCCATTGTAATTTCCACGTGGATGTGAAACGTGTCCACTTTTTCTCTTCTCTCTCTCCATTGTGCCTTCTATTGTTCCAGTACCATACGAGAATCGTCAAACCAGGGGGACAAAATATTTGGTCATTCAACTCGAACTTCTGTCTAGAATATATGATGGAAAATTTTCTTTTTCGTCTGTGGGCATGATAGACGAGTTTGTCGATTTGTGCTTTAATTGTCAGCCTTCCAGCTTGTCAAGCCATCAGTTTTTAAGATTTTCCATGCACTTAATGATCAATCTTGGTGAGCCTCTTCTCTCTCTCTTTCTTTCTTTCTTTCTATATGATCGTGATAATTCATATATGCATATATATATATATATATATATATATATATATATATATCTCCCGTATGAGAGGCCGAGAGAATATATATACATATATATGTTTGAACGGTAGCTGTTGCCTGTTTGTGTGGTAATACTCTCACATTTTAACTAATTTTTCTTCCTACGTCCTACGCCCAGAAGACAATAAATATGGAGTCTCAATTATGGCGTCGGTTTCTTCGTTCGGAAAGTCAGGTGGATCTGACACTCCGACTTGGCTTCCCCAATGGCAATGGCGGCCACCCTGATGATCACACTGATCATAATAAACCATTATTCTCCCCACCTCTTCATCATCTTCGTCAAACTCATCAGGTTTCATACATTATACTCTCTTTTACTTTTTACGTCTCGACTTTGTTTTATTTTAACAAATTGTGAAATCATCTCAATAACTGGGTTTTTCAATTTGATGAACAATTGTTTTGAATTTGAAGAATAATAGTATCAATTATTCTCTTGCAAATCCTATTCTTATAATTTCAAACTAGCCTGCGACTTTTTCAAATTTTTTTTTTGAATTGATCGATGATTTGACTATATTTATGATCACAAGTGTGTAATCTGTAGATATTAATTAACCTTCCATCTTATTGTTATTAATAGCATTATTACTATATTTATGATACAAAAACTTTAATTTTGTTAATTTTGAATTATTTACTCGAATTAATTCCACTTCCACCCTAATTTAATCTTCTTTTCAAAAAAAAAAATCCTAATTTAATTTTATAAATATACTAAATATAGGTATTAGGTTTAAATGCACTCAAACGCCATGTCAATCCTAATTTAGTATTATAAATGCCAAATACTCGAACGCCACTTGATCAAACCTAATTAAAGTTTCAAATGTGAGGTTCAAATTCGAACCATTACAAATTAATTAATCAAATAAACCATATTATCTCAATCTAAAAACTCAAAGGGTGTTTAATAAATGAATTAATCAGGTGGCCGCGGTGAACAATAATGTTGGGTTGGAGTCGTGCGGTGGGATGAGTGAAGCAAATTACAACCCTAACCAAATTTTATGGTCAAAAGAGCTGAAAACCTACGTTCTTAAGTCAAATAATCAAACTTCATTGGGTAGTCATGATCAAGTGAAGGGCAATATTGGCATTGGAAATGGCAGCACTACAAATAACTTGGCCAATGTTCCTCTTCAAACCAACAGCAACGACCTCTACACACTCCTCAACCCCGCTTCAAGATCAACAGATGATCACGAAGATGAAACTTCCTCCGGCAGCCGGCGGAAAGCTTCGCGGCTGCGTCGAGTCTCACACGACGAACCTGAAAAGCGGTGCACCAATTACAATTGCAACACTAATTTTACACCCATGTGGCGTAAAGGCCCTCTAGGTCCCAAGGTATACGTAATTGAATTTTTTTTTTAATAATAATGTGCATTAAATTAAAGCATAAACTAACAATCCAACGATAATATAATTATATGCAGAGCCTGTGCAATGCCTGCGGCATAAGGTATAGGAAGGAGTTGATGAATCGGGAGGCGATGACGGCAGAAAACAGCCACAACTAGCGAGCGACTAATGGCGGCTAAATCGGAAAATTAGGGGACCTCCTTAATTTCTTCAACGTCCGGCCATGCCTCGGGTTCTTTTCAAGTAATGCATGTCAAGAACTAGGTGTCAGTTCTCAAATAATATTGTAGATTTCAAAATCTTATGTTTTAATTAATTAAGAATTTGATTTCTTCGCCTTCATCTTTTTCTTTTTAATTATTATCATCATTATTAAAGCTCGGTTGTATTAAATGGATTTTATTACCGTTGAATTAAAAGTCCATTGTAGATATCTTATTTTTGAAAAAAGTTATCATTAATGTTAGCTTATGATGTATTGGTTAAGAGTAATAATTTAGTATATGATGTGTCACAAACGAGTAGTAAGTTTGATAAAACAACGGCGGACAAAGGAAGAAAAAATATGGGGTGGATGAGCAAAATACATTTCGAATCAAATTTTCGGACTATTTGTTATTATTTTATTTAATCAGGGTGATTTACAGTCTATATTGATATTAATGAGAAAAATTTAGAACTCTAGTTACATAATTAAACGCGTTAATGGTATGTATTTGGAGTAAAAAAGTCGTAAGTTTGAACTCACGCAACAAAAAGATAGTTACATAATTAAAAACTCTAAAAGAAATACAAAATAAAACATACGTTGAGTAACTCTAAGGTTTAAATGCTACCTCTATTTATTTCTCATGTTTCATGTTTAATTAATTATGTATGTAATGTTATATTCTTTTAGAAAATACAATTCTAATCTCTTATGGATTTATTTGATAACAATGTTGTTCTCTAAAATTATGATGGGTTTTCTCACCATCTATTTATCAAGTTTTTCACATTTGAAAAAAAATATTTATATTTTCAGCTAATATTTAAAAAATAAAGTTTTTAAAATTATTTTTTAGTTTTCAATTTTTGATTTTAATCTTAAAAACGTTTTTAACTAAGATAATAAAACGGAAAAATAGTGTTTATAACCTTAATTTTTAACAATAAAAAATAACATATAAAATAATTATCAAAGAGGCCCAAAAGCACCTCAAATACAACCACTAAAATTTTAAAAATTAATTGTAATTTTAAGCGTTTATATTACATTACATTTTCTCTAATAAGGGTTTGAAAAAAATCAGAAGATTATGGACAAAACTAAAAAAGACTCATAGTCCAACTTTCTACTTTTTATTTTTCTATATATATTTTTTCCTTGTGATTTCATCCAACAACAAAAGCTTTTTACTTTTCCATGCTACACCCATTAAAACCCATAAATCTTGAATTCTCGATTGCTATTTTTCTCTCTCTCTTTTTTTTTTAAATCAAATTAATTAATTTATTTTCAAATAAAAGAAAGAAAACATTTGTGACCCTGACAATTATTTTCAAAGGCATATAGGTTGATCAGTCACAATGCATGAGTAAAATCATTTGAAAATATTTCTAAAAAAAAAAAAAAACATTTGAAAATAAAAATCTTAATTATCTTTTTCCGAAAAAGAGAAAAAAAAAATAAAAAAATAAAAGCATAGGGTATGCGCGAGCGATCTACTTTGCGATTGTCGACATTTTCAAAGCCCCGACCCTTTCCACTTTCCATCATCGTTATCATCGAAACTCCTATAAGCTGCTACTTCACCATTCTTGTTTTCAACAACAACCCATTATTTCCCTTGATTCCTCTTCCTGGCTCTCCGGAGAAGCCTGCTTTTTAACTGCACCCAAACCCCGCCTCTCTCTGCATTGCCCTTCTCCGTCGCAAAACTGTAAGAAATTACTCTCTTATGTTTAAGTCTCATGGGCTGCTTTTTCAATGCCATTTCACTGCCGATTCAGTCTTGTTTTATGTTTCTGGGGCAAGCTTAACTGGCAGATCTATGTGTTTTTTGTTAACCAAAATTTATTAGTCTCTTGATTTTTCTGTTTCCGCATGTAATTAGTGTAGATGCATTTTAATATTTCTTCGTCCGAAACTATGAGCGTGTCTTTTCTCTGTTTTAGCTCATTAAAACAAAAAATGTTTGCCCAATTCGTTAACTGGGCAATGTGATTTTGCTCTCCTTAAAACCCTGCCTCAGAAATCCTATTTGTCTACCATGGCGATGCCAATATTTTTGCTTCCTGGATGATTTTGTAGAAAATATGTTGTTGAAGATAAGCAAAACCAATGCCAAAAGAAAATTTTCTTCCTGTTTAGAGATGAGTTTTTTATATTGAAGTAAACAATATGGGTTTTGTCTTGTTCTAATTAATCAGGATCATTAATATGTCAGCGGAACTGAACTTGCTTGGCGTTTCTTGTAGCAATTTGGCACTTTGGACCCTGAATATTAGTGATATCAGGGGATTACTTTTAACTTTTATCCTAAAGTGAATCCAGCCCCCAATAAAGATTTCCATTTACAGTTATTTCAATGTTCTTTTTCCTCCTCCAAGGAACTCGAATTGAACTTTATTTTAACATTTTAAGCTTGAATTACTTTCTTGTTCCTGTGGTTAAAAATTGAGCAGATCTCGATTCTCCTCAGTGAGATACCAGTTCCGGAAGATGGCTGCAGCAGCTTCTAATCTTCAAATAGCAACACTAAGAAACTGCCAATTGCCCTCTAGGAAAGGCTTCAAGCCATGTGGAACCACACTTAGTGGCAGTTCTAAAGCACCATCATGGGCGAAGCTTTCGAGTTCTTGCAATTTGTCATCATTGCCCTTTTTCCAGCGGAAGTTTGTCTCATCTTCTGTGAAAGTTGAGAGAACTGTTACCAAAGCAATGTCTGAAGCTAATGAAAGTAAGCCCGTCTCTGGGCTGCCAATTGATTTAAGAGGTTAGAGTTCTTGTAGTTTATTTTTCGTCATTTTTTCTGGTTCACATATGATACATGTTGTAATTACCTTTTTGTTTCTTAGTATCATTGTTTTATTCATTACCATCTTCTCGGTTCGCTTGCCTTTAAAAGATTGTGGTTTTATCTGGAGAGTGTCTCCTTTTGGTAACTTATGAATGGAAGACCTGTCATACTTGAAAATTAGCGAGTGCATGACAATTTTGAACTAATCTACATTTTTATGTGCAGGCAAGAGAGCATTTATTGCTGGTATAGCTGATGATAAT